AACTCTTACAGTAAAGGACCTCTCCAGAGCAGAGACTGCCATAGACCGCCACTCTGGATTTTGTAATATTTAATAATCAAAAGAATATAATAAATGGGAGTATCCCCAAACATATCTCCCAGTCTGGACATTAAACTAATTGGAGCGCGTCAAATGCCTGGATTCCCCCGCACCCAGAAGCGACTAAAAGGTTGGATTGGATAGTCGCTACAACGGGTTTATTTAGTTTTTAATCAAATGCGCTTTTGGATTTATATAAACACAACATGAACTTTCAGAGTTTAAAATATACGATGTAAACATGGTAGATGCAGATCTGGAAGAGAGTCAATATCATAATGAGGAGCAGTTTAACAACAGTATAATGATAAATGCAGGCTTCTCTGTTTTCACTTTAATAGTAGAAGTATGAATTCAAATTTCTCAAAAATAAATGATTATTTAAAACAGTTAAACAGACATTTTAGTACTGTATAATAGCAGTCTCAGAGACCTGGTTAAGTGATGACAATAAAAATAACTATCAAATAAATGGATATGAGTTATATTGTGTGACTGGAAACATTAAATGAGGTGGGGTGTTGCTTTGTTTGTTGATATTCAATTCAATTCAATTCAAAAATACTTTATTGATCCCAGAGGGAAATTAGGTAATTTGAATTAAAATATTAAATATTATTGAATTAAAGTGTAAATTAGGGACAATATGTCAATAATTGTTGATGGTGTAAAGCAAATGTTTACCATTGAGGTGTTGAATGCGAACTCTAAAAATTTAGTGGTCAGCTGTGTGTATCGTTCACCAGGTTCAACTATAGAATTATTTTCTGATAAAATCACAGAGCTCATTGAAAGGAGTTATAATAAAACAATTTTTTGTGTGGAGATTTCAACATTGACTTGGGAACTCAAACTGTTTTTAATAGTGTGTTTATTGGTACAATGTATAGTTTAGGTCTTTATCCACTAATATCAAAACCAACAAGAATCACAGCACTTACTGCTACAATAATTGACAATATATTCACTAATGTAAGAGATGGAGAGGTGTTGAGTGGACTTTTTACAACTGATATAGTGATCATCTAATGTCAGTGTTAATTTAACACCCACAGTGTTAATTTCAACACCAACAAAGTGTCTTTATGTGTCCACACTCGCTGGTGTTAAAATAACATTTGTAAAAGTGCACAGCAAAAACAGGAGTGTTAAAATTTCAGTGTTAAACTTTTGTGTGTTCATTTAACGCCCCCTAGTGTTAATTTAACACTTTCAGAGTAAACTGACACCCACTGTTGGTGTTAATTCACAGTGTTGAYTTCCTCAGTGTTGTATCAACACTACACAGTGTTAAATAAGCTCCGCCCACAATTAAGTCTTWTATAACACTTAACAGTGTTGTTATATAACACCATGCAGTGTTGAAAGCAGTATTCAGAAAAGCCCCGCCCTCTTCCACTTCATGTCAGACAGACCAGTATTTACCCAGCATTCCTTGCTGAGAAATCTTGTAGAAAGGATGTGTTTCTATGTTTATGACCATTAAAAACATTCATGAGAGTAAAAAGGAGTTGTTCTGGTTAGTTTTCTTGTTCAGTTTGATCAAGCTGTCCAACTTTAAGTTTATGTTATTGGCCAAAAATCGACACCATGAGTGAGAGGTCTATCCTGGTGTGTGAAGAGTGACTCCATTATACATTCTTATTACAACACTACAAAGATTATGATATTAACTCTGAGTGTTAAATTTACACTCTCAATTTGATGGTGTATTGACACCTTATGGTGTCCTTTAACCTGTTTTACACCTTAATTTTCTTTGTTAATAATAATGATACACTGGTGTTACTTTAAACAATATATTGAAATGTTAATATGACACCCAGTATTGTTGAATATTCAACACTGACTGGTGTTACTTTTATCACTAAATTTTAACACTAACACTAWTTTTATGTTAATGTGACACCAAGTATTGTTGAATATTAAACACTGGTTGGTGTTAAATTAACAAAACAATGGGTGTTAAAATTTAACACTTTCACAAATTATTTTTTCACTTTCACCTAATTTCCCTCTGGGATCAATAAAGTATTTTTGAATTGAATTGAAGTGAAATGTTATTTTAACACCAGTGAGTGTGGACACATATAGACACTTTGTTAGTGTTAAAATCAACA